ATGTAACTGTTGTCAATAAAATTGTGGTAATCATCAGGCCACGTTTTACAAAATACATAATTTGATCTGTCAAGCTCAAACACTGGTCGCTGCAGTTTCCAAATATTAACTTCATGCAGTTGAATGCTTAGCTTATAGCAGTCGAATGCTTAGCTGATAGCAGTCGAATGCTGAGCATATAGCAGTCAAATGCTTAGCTGATGGCAGTTGAATGCATAGCTGATGGCAGTTGAATGCATGGCTGATGGCAGTCGATTGCTTAGCTGATAGCAGTCGAATACTGAGCTTATAGCAGTCAAATGCTTAGCTTATAGCAGTCAAATGCTTAGCTTATAGCAGTTGAATGCTTAGCTTATAGAAGTTGAATACTGAGCTGATAGGAGTCGAATGTTGAGCTGATAGCATTCAAATGCTGAGCTGATAGCAGTCAAATACTGAGCTTATAGCAGTCGAATGCTTAGCTGATAGCAGTTGAATACTGAGCTGATAGCAGTCGAATATGCTGAGCTTTTAGCAGCTGAATGCTTAGCTGATAGCAGTCGAATGCTTAGCTTATAGCAGTCGAATGCTTAGCTGATAGCAGTTGAATACTGAGCTGATAGCAGTCGAATACAGAGCTGATAGTGGTCAAATATATGATGTAAGAAACTTATGTTAAATGACATAAAAATATAGAAACTGTTTATATAAGTACACGATTCTGAATATTTTTGGGTAACTACGATGTGATATGCTTATAATATAATAGTTTTTTTCTAAATTTATGCATGTACCATATGTACAGCACATACAAGAAATAAATATAGACTGGGTACATACCATTGCAAAACAAATATACGGGTAATACCAAATAATCAGTGAGTTACGGTAGATACATTTGCTAATACAGATACATGTAGTAGGGAAATCATGCAGTATAAACACCTTACAAAAAACAACTAACTCTGAAGGTGCTGAAGTTAGTGCACTGTTCGATTTCAGATTTTTTTTTCCAAAGTTCTTGTAACTGACAGTAATGCTACATTTCCAGATGACAGTTTTTGTTACTCAGTTATAGCATCATCTATAGTGAATGAACCCAGACACACGGGACACTGACTTTAAAATTCCATTCTATCACAGAAGACATTATTATTAGTAGTAGTAGATGTAATTTTAAAAACTGAGCTGCCCGGTAAGTCTGTTCCAGCCTGTAACCCAACTGGCATGTTTTAAACAAGACAATCCAATTAACGAATTTCATTAAAACACCTTGATTTGTCAACAGAGTTCCACGTTCTTTTAAAAACGTATTTTGGCATTTCAAATTACAAGACGGAAAACAGCAATAGTGAAGATACTTACTGTTGACGCAAACAACATCAAGTTCCATAGATAACTATTTTCACAAATTTGTCGGTTTTTATTAAGGCCCGAAAAAAATAGATGCGACTTTTCCTTTCCTGATATGTTTAAAAGAAATGGATGGGTTGCTGTTCCTTTCCATTATGTCTATGATAATTTGGTAGATACCCCAAAAATAGTCACAAGCTTTCATAAGTTTTTTTTTGTTATATCATAAACTACCCATTTTTAAAATCCTACTGTTACATACTACTCACAGTAAACATATGAAAATAGCATTTTTTGACAACAAATCATCATAGATCAGCTGACAGGAATACATCCGATAGAACGTAACAAGCAATAGGCTTTATAGATTTTAAAAACAGCATATTTTTAAAACTTAAAATGATGAAATCTATCTACAACAGCAGTCCAGCAGATGAATTTCAAGAACAACAACAATTATTCACAAAAATAAAAAAAATTGCAGTTGTCGTCATGAAAACACTCAAAGCTCAGTAATCCACCAAATGAGCACCAAAAAAATCAAACATTCAATTCAAAAAAACTGGCAGTTTTCAAAAACAAAAAAAAAGATGTTTTACTAAAAAATAACCCAAAATTTTATTAGGAAAACTACAGTTATCAACAAAATGATCGAATAGAATACAGCCCCACCGACATGTCAAGTTTTGAAGCAATCATCCCATGGGGAGGAGAAGTAGAAGAAGAAAATGAAAATACATTTGAAAGAAAGAAAATCACCAGCTCTGCACATCTACAATGTCAGTGATGCTAAACAGCAGACATACTAATGTGTATTGCACTACACTGGGAGCTCACATTCACTATGTCATATTACGTTAGCCTTAGACAAAACCTTAAGACACTGCACTCTCAATCGATCCTTGTTATAGGCTACACAATTAAAATTATTTGCCAGAACAATCCAAAAAGTAAACTTGCTATTATTTTAGACTTGCTATGCGAAAAAAAAGAGAGAGACATTTAACATGTATTGGAATGAAGAAAATGATTGGTCCTGGTAAATAATTTGTTGATTAATTCGAAAAACTTTCATGCTCTGTAATTAGATTAAATTATCAACTGGCAATTTGAGATTCCATGAAATTCTCACCCAAATTTGGCAATGAGCGCAAAAGGCAATATTATTGTCTGTATAAAAACAAGAAATGTACAATGGCTAATGCATGCTGTGGAAGAGTTCATTTAGGTTTAGGGGTATGAAGGGTAGAACTAACACAGTTAGTAGTCGCTGTTCAGTTCCAAAAATCTTTTGTAGAGTAAAATTAGATGAAACTCATTGAAGAGATGAATGAATGGTATTTGAAAAAGTTTTGTTAAATAATATAATACATGTACCAACTTTCTCCCTTTTCAAAACACTCCATAAAACAATCCCTATCCCAATATATAATGTCTTACTTCTTCAAAAGTACAAATTAGATACAAGTCTAGCAACGCTTCACTGCTGATGAAACTATTTAATATAATGTTGCATGTATTAATGATGTGCATAACCACAAGCAAAAAAAAACACAAAAAAAAATAATTATAATTATGGCGCACATCTTCTATTATTGATGTTTCTTGTGGTCATTTTCAGTCGCCGTGGTATCGTTATAAAGAGGGTGAATGGATTCAGAGATGTCTCCATGGTCGTTCATACTTTCGGAGCGGGATCTCACTGAGTAGTAGTGAATGATATACTGACGTATAAAGAAATGCCAGATTGTCCAGACGGTTAGAGCACTGATGCCGATGAGCCAACACCAGGCAATGTGCGACGGCAATGGTTTCAAAACAAGCTGGGGATCAAACTTTAATATAATTAATACTTCCGTCCCAAGGGTGGCAAGAGTGATCCACGACTGCTGTCCAAACTTCTTACAAGTCCTGCAAAATGCAAAAATAGAATTGGAATTTGCATTTATATAATTGCACATCCCTGAATTGAATGCTAATACCACGAAAAAACATGTATAAACACATTGAGAACAATTTCAGTGAAATGGACTAACAAATTTCCATTTTGCAGGGCTAATATTCATCATATTTCCAATTCTCAAGGTTTAAGGACAGGCCATTGGAATGATGTAAACAAATTAGTATCCAACAAATTGTCACTCTTCTTGACTTCGTTTTATGTAGATTTATGTGGGAAATAGACATGCCTTTTTTTTTTGTTCACATTATTGCTATGTAACACAAGTTTGATGTAAAAGAATCAGGAATCAGGTGGTGTTACACCCTTCACGATTGTATTATGAACAATGGTTGAGGATGCACTGTAATACTGATAATTTGAACAAAGACTTACGGATCTTCCAGATATTGGTAGGTCTCACGTAGTGCACATGCACTCTCTGGTACAACCAGGAACACCCTGATAAGATTGAGATAATGTGGCGGTGCCAACCATAGAACAAACTTAAGGTAGAAATAATTCAATTTACCCAATAGTATCTGTCCAGATAAACAAACGAAAAATCAAGTCAGCAACTGTCATAATTTCAATTATCATAGCTTGATCTCCCTTGATCTGATGTAAGTGATATAATTGCAGGAAATTAAAATTGCCCATTGGTGTATGCATCATTGATTCAGTGGCCATAACAATTAAATGCAGTTATTGTTATTTTCATCCATCTTAATCATCTTGATGTTACGGAAACACTTTATCGCCGAAAAAAGTCTGACAATATTAACTTACCACTGAGATTACAGCCAAAACTGCTAGCCATCTTTTAAAACTGGCTGTGGGTTTCCAGTCGTATCTCGTCCAGCTATATGGAGTGAACTGAGCTGCTATACGCTTCACTTTCCCTCTATTGAGTTGAAATGACAGAAAGCAAGTCGGTGATGATGATTGTTGATGTCACATGATTAATTTGTTGTCTGAAGAGTTTCACTAAATTGTGCCCTCTATGGTCAATGTGAGTTGTGTGTGAAGGGAGCTGTAATTTAAACTGTCTATTATTTTATTTCCGAAATTAGTTCATTTACAGTAAACAGTTAAATACAATATTTGAGTGTGTTTCATCCATAATGTAAGATTTCGAACATTTGTTAAATTGCTGACTCTTGCTAGGGAGCAAACGCGTTACCATACAGGTCTTTGGATGCCCCATTTTGGTTCATTTTGGATACTGCTCGATGTGAGTAAGCCAAACAAAAAGTGCATTTTGGGTTGATATTGAAGGCAGTGTGAAACTTGACAAGTGTGTGTGTCAGCAGAGTAAATGTAATATATGGTGTAAATAATATATAAAATATATATATCCTAGTTTATGTCTGACCAGTTTTTACATTTCTAATAAAATCATTGCATCTTTAATTACCATATGAACTGGTCTCTCAGAATGTATTTTCACCCTTGTTATATCACTGTTCGTCACGGTAACTGACTAGTAAAGCAGCACCACAGAGCCTGGTCTAAAGATTGATTGGCAATTGGCCTTGCTGGCTAACAGACACCCAGTGAGAAACTTTTTACATTCACATTAAAATGGTCTACATTTGGTCAATCTGAACCATCAAATGAGTACATAGACATATATGTGACATTATGCATAAAGTGTGTATAGTTTGAATATGAATGATGAGTCAAGGGATGTCAGAGATACGAGTATCGGTAAGGCCCTGGAACATGTATCAAATACTCATTTGTATGTTCAATTTACAGAACCCAGTTTGAATGACATATGTCCATGCATTACTGAATTGCAGTTCTGGAATAGCAGAAATGTTTGATTTTGATGATTTCTGATTGATTCTATAGATGTAATCTATGATTCAACAAATGCATGTGCATACATGATGTTTGACGTGATGTATGTAAAATTTGAAGATAATTGACCCATGATTGCCCAAGATACAGGAACAGCAGAATGCATATGCCCGCTTGCACATGGACTCGCAGAGGTGAAATTATAATTATCCCTTTTTAGACTTATGTTTGAATGGAAACTAATGAATAAAATCAAGATCAGTGGTATAAGAACCATTTACCGTATATGTATATAATTGTCTACTTTCAGTATAGTTTGCACATTTGTAATATTTGCAAAGTAAATTTGGCATGTGGAATGTACAAGGGAAGTAAAACCGACAAATCCACCCTAGTGCTGGTAGGGACAGTCACTGAAAGCACTTCTAGGAGGAGTGGTGGTACCTTTCAAAAGGCATGAACACAAGCATTGCTACCACAATGATAAGTTTATCCTGCATACACAAGTCAAGGCTGTACCAGCTGGTGATATTGCCCTGGTCAGCTGATCATTGGATTGTTTCATTTCACCTCTCTCTGATATGGAGTAAGCTAACCTTGACCTTGACACAGGCACATGCACCTTTGATTGCTGATCACTGAGTAACCATGCATTTCAATCAAGTTATTGATATCGACAGTGTACATGTAGATTAGATATCCAAATATTCATGGTTCCAAGCAGAACATTTTCCAGCGAGTACAATTTCAGTTTTATTTGGATCTTTTCACTGTCATATAACTATCTTACCACATATAAAAATATGTAAATTTTAGATCAAAACTTAAATAAAAAGCAAATGCAGCCAAATAAAAATCCTAAGTCAGCTATAACCTTAAATACGTTTATCCACATCCTTGAGTGATTTTTTTTTTGCTTCATGCAAAAATAATAAATAAACCAGGATCAATGTATTTAATATTATCATTGCTCCATAAATTCAACAGATAACTCTTAGTAAAACTAAAACACTAAAATCAAAATGGAACGAGGCAGTCATAGATTTTATGAAGAACGTTTGCTAAATACGAACAAAAATTGATTTTTTTTTACACTTAAAAATGTACAGATTTCAAAATTCTGCACAAGCAATCACAAAATTAAAATTAAAAACTGGCAGGCAGACATTCAAATTCTAATAATCCACTTAATGAAAGAATCTGTAAACCCTGCAACATAGATGAAACTAAAGATGAATTACACCTCCTTGTTGTTTGTCCAAAATAATGAAAACTACGCCAACAATTTTTTTTCTTTCTCAGGAGTTGCTCATTATCTGCTTAAGCTGTCACTACAGATGATCCGTACATTAGAAAGACTGTACCTGTATGTGGGTATCTTCCATAGGTTAATCCAGTGATACTGCTTAATATTCAGATACTCTAACGTCTTCCATCCAGCATAAATACCAATGCTATTGCAAATTGCCGCATCCATTATCCACTGAAACAATCGCAATAGCATTAATTAACCTTTTCACCACCAGTTAGTTCCCTCTTTTCATCACGAATTCACAAAATACTGTAAAATGACTAATTTTCACTGGGTTTAAATTTCACTGATTTACCATTTCAGGCATATTCAGTGGGTTTTAAATTCAGGGTTTCGTCATTTAGATAATGTGTTCTATGCTAAATTTTACATATTCACTGGGTTTTAATTTAGCGCATTTTCCAGTCAGCGAAATAAGCTAAATTAAAACCCAGTGAATAATTACCCCCTTTACAGTAGTCCCGTTTATGGTATGCACTTTTCTTCAGAAGATTGGGACAAAAACAGTCAATTCTTTTGAGTAAAAACTAAAGATTGACTCGAATTTTGTCTGTTAGCTCCAAAATTAGGATTTATTTCCAGAATTATTGAAGAAAATAAGGAAAAAGTGCAGAAAAATTTGGGCGAGAAAGGCTGGTGGGTCAAATGTCAACTACAATTAGATATTCTGTGAAACACTGTGAAAGCATTTAATATTTTTGTCACAAGGAATGTTCGCAATTCAATCCACTTGTTTGAATTTTGTGAATTTGCGACTACCCGCTGCTTTAAGGACCTTATAGTGAAGATATTAAATTTCACAATCTCTTCCCACTTTTGAATCTCACGGCTAAATTAAAACTGTTTACATTTCTTGTAGAACTCTTAATAATTACGAGTATAGAAAACAAATTCATACTCTTGAAATGAACAATGTTGATATGAATACTCAAAGAAACATCATTTTAAGAGACAATATTCTGTCTGTCTGTATGTCTATCTGTCTGTCTGTCTGTCTGTTCAAACTATAGAGATCAGGTCAGGTCAGTATCAAAAGTTATTAAATTATATACACAGTTTGCAGTTGTTGAGCATTGGAAATTCTAGTTTCAAATAGACATCAAGACCTGGCATGACATCAGCATAATGTAATGCAGCTGTTAAATCAGGTCAATGACATAAAACTGGGGCAACCACTATTTCATTCATTGTCATACATAATTGATAGTAAATTTCTCCTCCTTTAAGAGTACATACTGGTTGCTACTCGCTGACCAGAAACAAGAACAGCAAATGCATCAATTCCATTATGAATTACAAAATGTGATGACGGACGTCCACTTTATAAAAATCAAAACTTTCAATTGCAGTCGCTGCTCAGCAAACAAAAAAGGGGTCCATTTTCAATATTGGATGAGGATGGAGGTAATTTAATTTTTGGGTTCCAACCTCGCTGTATATGTACGAGTTTAGAATAGAAATTTCAAAAAAAGGCATCCTCTATCAACAAATAGTCATAAACAAAAATTACTGCCAATCGGTTATTTGGTTATTTGTATGCAAGTATTACATGTGTGCAGGAATGCCAAGAATCAAATCATGCAAGTGAAACAGATATATGGATATATGGATCCCCACTATGTGAAATCCCCGTTTTCTGTGCACATCATATCTATTTAATGGGATTCCCACTATTCCTTCTTCACCCATGGCAAATTACATTAAAATTTGGCGACAAGAAGTTAAGTGCAAGACTAATTTCAACCGTCAATTATTCTGAGCATGTCATCATTTGTGGAAAAAAGTGAATATAAATTCAAATTTAGGAAAACGTAATGCTTTACATTACTTTAACATAGATTTCTCCCTATTTGTGTAGTGGCTTAAACAGTTTGGAATTAGCTACATTGGTTTAGCCATGGTACCGAATACAACATGGTTTTAACCATAGTAGCTAATATAGTGTTCTTCCCCAGAGCAATTTAGCGAAGAGGACTGCTACTCTAATATTTACGCCGCTACTCTGAGAGCTTGCTTGCTAAGCTGATGGGTTTACCGCAACGCTGAATAAATCCCACCTCAACTGATCTAATTTTTATAAGTTTTATTGTAAATCTGTTATGCACATTTACTATTTCTGGTGTTCATTAATTAACACATTAGACATAAAAAAAACAGAATTGGCACTCGCTAGCAGACTGAACAGAAGTGTGAAGCTTAGTTTCCATTGCGATCATAAGTAGAAAGCAAATAATGCTCCAGTCAATGTCAACCCCGACCCCTCCCACCTCGGGCGATACGGGACAAATGTGGGACATTAGACAGGGTTTACCGCCAAACTGTGCCCTGTGGAGGTGGGGTAATAGCCGTGTTTCGTGTCTCGTCATCGCTAGCATCGCTAGTACTCTGCTGATAGCAAGCATGGCGGACAGTGGCGATTTGTGGAAGAAATGTGGGGGGTTTGTTTTGGGTGGGGATCTTGCCTA